AGACGAAACACGGAATTGCTTCCATTTCACGCCTGTCTTCTGTGTGGTCGTGGTATGGTGGTACTACCACTGTCAGTGCAACCTAGTGCAGGAGCCAAGGCTCTCATGAAATGTATATATTTTTAAATTGACATAATAAAGGATTTTTATATTGGTTTAATTAAGTTAAAAAGTAGGATATTAAAGTAAAAAAAACATCACGGTTACACTAAAGCTCGTTTTAAGTTAATTGTAAACTTCCAAACAATAAAAACAAATTAATTTACTGTTTTTAAACCGATTCTCAAAACACACACGTAACAATATTTTATGGAAAGCTTCATTTTCAATAAAAGGTTACGATAATATTTGTTATGCGTAAACTTTGAAGGATAATTTGAATTTATTATTACTTCACTGAACCCATGAAAAAAGTAAACAAAAGCAAATATTGAGCACCTTTTTGCAATACCAGATAAAAAGTAATATTTGCAAAAATAAAATAACTCAAACACTCAAAACAAATAAAAGTTGTTAATTAAATGTCATTTAAATCACATTTTTTAAAACAAAAAACTAATCTACTGACTTAGATTAGCCTTCGAATTTAATCTTCGAAACCATATAAAGTGCTCAGACTTCTAAGCAAAATAATATAGACCCCAGAGCATACTTCGCTTTTTCTTGAGAGACAAAAACTTTAGTAAAATACTATTCATCTTGTTAAAGACTGGCAAACCGACGCGGCTTCGCACGGATGATTTATTTTTAAAACATAACAAGCCTGTTACTTAACGATATCGTAACATTCTAATGGTGAAAGAAGATTTAAAATTGGTGTAGTAGTTTTGAGTTTATTCGTTACTAACAATTCTTTTTTTTTCTATAATATTAGGATATAAATGTATAAGATATATTTGTCGATAATCCTCTACTAAATTCAGACGTTTAAAGGTTTCTGTTTAAGCTACCTTGTAGTATAACTATCACGTATTTATAGATTAAAAGTAGGCAAAATTATGATCCAAATATTATGAAATCGGTCGATTATAATCTTGCAATAAACTTCAACTTAATTGACCCTTATTTACACAGCATTTGATTTACGAATACTAAGACTAACGTATTAAAAACTCGGTATGTCATAAAAAGTAAGGTAGAGTCGGTAGAATATGCCTTACTTCCTTATAATACATTATGAGGAGGTTTTGTAAGAATACTAACTTTCTATAAAACTATAATAAATCTAAATTAGATTAGAATTTAATTTCTAAAAAATCATGGTAAGTCATTCTGACTAAAATACTTTTTTCTTATAACAATTTTAAGACTATAGATACAAGTTCAAAAATAAAAACATTTATTATTAATCAATTATGACATCTAAACATCTTCGGTTTTGTTTTCGTCATGAAAACGAATCCGGTTTTGTAATGAAAACAAAACGGTCCAGAAGTCGTTATAATTTTATGTTAATTACCGCTATAAAACGACGGACATAAACATTAAATGAGTAAAATTAAATTATTATAATTGCTTCAAAGATTAAATTAACCATTAATTATTTAAACTTAGATTAACATAAACGTAAAATTTCCAATAGACTAAGGTAAAAGATGTCTACCGATAACGCGACCGTGTCTTATATTCCCGATATTTGACTTTAATTATATCGCCAACTTAAGTACATCACTTAACAAAGTCCCAGCATCGGCTGAAGGCTTTCAAGTGAGACGCAGCAATGCTCGGTAATGGCCGCTCAGCTTTAAGTTACGGCGCTCTCTCACGCAACCACACGGTCTGCGAATACCGTAACTACCTAATTGCCTTTCATAGTTTACAAACGCGTCACTAAGAATGTTTCGAAATTAAGACGTAAAACGAAAATACATTAACACAAAAACTAATAATGATAAAGATGAAATCCACTTAAATATATGCCACAAAGTGCGCACACTATTCGATTTTTAGTTGTGCAACTAAACAGTTGAATTGGCTGCGAAACAATCGACAATCGCACAATAGTCGAGCAATAGTTTAGTCGAAGGTCCCCCGCGCCCGCTTTCCGGTAGCAATTCGTACATACCTCTTTCACAGAAGGCGCCCTCATAGTCGCCATCCCTGCATTCGCAGACCGGACCGTTGTCAGTGCTGATGCAGACGCCTCCATGCTGGCAGGGATCGCGGCGCTCGCATGCATCGCCACTCGCATTGCTCACCCGAGACGACTGCAAAATACAGACAATTTTGTCGTAATCACAACACAGTTTTCACAAATAGTAACACAAATGTTTTAGATTTCAACTCTGCTTAACTTTTTATGCTTACAGTGTAAGATTCTTTAAACTTAAGTTAATAGGAATAGCACTATATTACTCTGCATATAAGTCACTAACTATTGCTTTTGACTTCGTCCCGTGGGATTTAAAAAAAAAAAAATAAATATGTTATGTTACTCAGTAATAACATAGCTTTTTATTGGTGTAAGAATTTTAGAAATCGGTCAAGTAGTTTTTGAGTTATTCCAATACATTCAAAAATTTTAATATTTCTACTTTATCGTCGTGGCACTACTTAATTATTATATGTAAAATATTTCTTTGCTTATAACTTTTACTAACACTAGATTTTTAAGTTCAAACACTAACACTCTATGGATCTTTGTTATCGAAAATAAATCAATTATTATTATTATTTATAATATTAGTATAGAAGTATAGGTATAGATTGATATTCAATAGCTAGAACTATCGTAATACACAATATACGAGGCATTAAACTACAGTTATCTGACAGTGATATATTACATTACGTCAGAGAAACTATTCCCAAAACTTTGATAAACGTTACTAATCCCAAATCAAAACTCATACATAATTCACACAAAACCATTTCAGTTTATATATATGTATACGCATTGCCCCCAAAAGTTTTGAAGGTAAACAGGACTTTGTATGAATTTCCTTAGACCGTTAAATCTTTAAGCTGGGTTAAGTAAGACGAAGTTTCAGATAACTTAAAACTTTGTTACTATGACTGATTTAACATCAATTAAGTTTTATAAGAAACCATAATAATTTAGGAAAACTAAATAAATAATTGTAAAGTACATTAAATCGTTTTTTGTTGAGAGTGTTTTGTTTTAGTTAAAAATTAATTCGAGCGAGTATTCATTTGTTTTCAATAATTGAATATATATATATATATTTCCTATACCAATATAATAAAGCGTAAACACACACTACTTCGTGGCGTAGGATGTCAGCAATCACAGCATATATTTGAATAATTCTTCCTTTAATAAAAAACCCTACACTTATACGCTTTAGGCTATATATTTTCACGCTATTAAACTTAGGGGTAAATAAATTGTAAAAAACCCTCATGTGGGAAAAGGACCATAAACTACAAGCTGCCAACATTAAGGAAACAAGGTTATTATGGTAACGGTAATTATGACATTTGCGAATTCGAATTTACCAAATGGAAACAATAAAATAAAGTGATAATAAAACGAAATTTATTCAAATATTAAAAACATTTTACAGTACGCTTAACATATATTGGTATGCTAAGAAAATTTTCTTAAATATCTCATTGAAAGGAGAAACTTTGCGTCACTTCCGATAAAGTTAGAAGCTTGTATAAAGGCTTAATGCCGCACAGGTCCTAGCGTGACCGACTTGCACCTAAATTACTCTCTTTCGTGCCTTTACCGAAGTTTCCGCAACGCAACTGGAACTTAAAGCAACTTGTTACTTGAGTTACCATTCATTCTAATTAAGTGTAAATTTTATACTTGTTATAATTCCTTGCTACGTAAGAAATAAGGTTTTCTGATTCAATTTGTTTTATTGTAAACAGGATTAAAGCTTTTAAAACTCGAAAAATGATTTACTGTAGTAAATAAATACATATGTATATGACTAGTAGCTAGACTACTAGCTGTTGCTCGCGATTTCGCCCGTGTGAAGTTAAAAAAAATATTAAAAACGTAGTGATAAGAAAGCTTTGTATCGGTGCAAGAATTTTTAAAATCGGTCCAATAGGTTTTGAGAGTTTCAATAAATTCGAAAACCCAAAAATACTTTCTTCTTTTCATAATATTAGTATAGTTTCTATTTTTAAATATCATTTTTGAAGTAAAAATGGTTTTAACCTGAAAAATGATACCAATATTTTCCTGCAGATGGCGCACACTGTCATGCCTTATGAAGTAGATGCTAAATTTTCGAAATTGCATCTGGCAATTGTTTACAACAGAACAATGGAGGTTTGTGCACAGGTTTTCAGTTTCCGTTGTAATACTTTGCATTATGAACACTGAGTTTTTGAAGTTTATGGCTTTTCCGCAGTTAAGTACGTTGTTACTGGAGTATATTGGCCAATGAGGAATAATGCTTAGCTTTAAAACAAGCCTATTTTTATTACTAATGCTATTCCGTGCGTGTTTTGAATTTCATTGTTGTGACATTTGTACGTAACTATTATAATACATGAAGAGAAAACTTTTTGCCGCATCAATTCACAATGAAAAAAAAAGAAAATGATTGATCACGACCAATTGGCGACTATTTGCTTTGCGGTTTCCGCAACGCAATCTTGAAACCGGTGTCAAGTTACTTATAAAATCAAAATTGTTAAGTTTTTTATGTAAATTTTGTAAGATTGTCGAAATTAAGGCTGTTATCATTATTAATTTGCGACTGCAGTCTGCAAGAAGTCAGAAAATTTACAGTATGTTGTTGAACTAGTGTTCCCAAGAGACTGAAGAATACAAAAATTACAAGACATTTTACAAACGGCGTTAAATCTAATAAATATTACATTCATGGTTAACATCAATAAAATTTCCTACGAAAGTGAAAAGGTTAATGACCTTATCGCGGTCGCTGGCTGCGATGCGGGGGAGGGGAAAAGTCGAAGATAATGTGTGAAAATCAGCAATAACGTTGAAGCTCAACTTAAGCTGGACGCCGACCCTCTTCACAGCAGACGACGCGCGTCAAAAGATTGCTAGATGCAGATCGGTTATTGGATAACCGTAAATGATCCTTTAGTTCCCTTTGGAACTATAAATATGTTATCTATAATGAATATTGTTTTATACTTTTCTCTCGGTAATTAGAAAATGAAGCTTTTTCTTTTGCTTAATAGCTTTTTCTCTTTCTTGCTTAACTTTAACACAGTGAATTCGCATAGAATCTTAATGAATAATGTTGGTTATTAGAACTTATCTTACAAATCACTTTGTCTATTCATTGAAAACATAAAATACCTTGCTTAAATTTTATATCATTAAAAGACACTGCAAAATAACCCATCGAATTTTTTTAACAATTTCATACAATGTTTTATTAGTAAAATTTTACCATGCGTCTACTGTAAAAACACATTATAAACATATTTATGATGCCGCGTACACGAACGTATAGAATTTCATAAGCGTTTCATAAAAATAAAATTTTAAATTCACATCGGCTGAGGGATGGCGCATCTGAAGGCGAAAATACAACCTACTTCATGGCACGAGAACACGCGACTCTACCTGTTCATATAATGTAAATTACATTGTAAAATAACTGCATTTAATATTAAATAACTAAAGCAATGGAGAAAAAATAATGTTCTTCGCCTCGATTCATGAAGTTTTAATTAAATGTTTGATTTATATTGTTGCACAAGCTATTTAAAATATTATGTTTTATGTCAGAAAAATAATATAGAATAGCTCACCTTATATTGGACTTTACTTTTTATAATATTTTTTTTTATATTTCAATTGTTATTTTTTATGAACACTAGTACTAAGTTCTTAACTTGATCTCATGCAATATTGTTTCAATTATAACTTGTTGCAACTTAGATGTGACGGCTAACAACGTCGCAGCTGCGAGCGACTTAGCTAATTAAGTTGTCCGCTTACAAACCATTGCTTTGATCTTAAGCACAACTTAACACTTATAATGCACAATATAATGTCAAAGTTGTGATTTGCACAGAATCGAGTTAGTGTTAAACTAAGTTACAAAATCAAAATAAGGTAAATTTTACTTTAACATTTAGACGACCTCCTACGCTTTCCATTTACACATTTTCCTTTTGAAATTATTGAGAACTTCGTCTATTCACGTGACCTGTCAATATTCAAAGAGTTACAAGAAATATTACGGTTATTGCGTGAAAGGGCATTGAGAGCTATTAAAATATGAAATTTAAATTCGTAATAATATACATTTTTATTCTTTTATAAATTGACATAATAATTACAGAATTACACTCCTTAAATCATAAACTTACCCTGTATTTATGTAAATGAGGAAACAACGCATTTCGATTGCACCTATACCTTATTTTTTTATAGGTTAGAATTTTCATATGTTAGAAATTGCTTTATAATCGAGCATTTCCATTACTTTGAGATCGATATCTGCATGCAATTTTGTATATGAAATAACACGCTAATGTTTTACACGCAAACATAAAATAATATCCAATTAATTTGACGCTAACATTAATATATTAGAGTAAAAATAATAAATCCCTAAGTAGTTACTCAATGTTTATACTATGAATTATAATGATTATGCTTAAGAGATATTTTCAAATCATATTTTAACTAAGATCGAATATAAGACGTAATAAAAATTATGACAAAATTGAACTCATCTTGTTTGAATTCGTTTTACGATTGTAGTTTTAACATTAGTTTGAAATTTAAAAGGTTTAAAAATGGATTATTTTAGTAACATATATATCTGTCATGACCTTTTGGTGTAAAAACTTTATATTGAAATAAAATCTAACTGAAACTTTTTAACGAAACACATATAAGAGTTTAAAATAAAACATTTTTAGGCGCACGGTCGATTTATCATGTTTTTGACCTACGATAAGGAACATACGATCTTTATGTCCTAGTACATGCTTGCACGTAATTTGTCTGAAAGCAGTGCGGTACATTCGTGTGACATCGCTAATGTCAGAACGTCTTGGCGTACACTTAGACCAGTTGTACAGCACTGTACTTTGCTAGAGTGCTTTCGTGTCTCCGCATAAATTACACATAGCTCAAATATTCGTCACCAAAAACATTCACAAAATAAATAATTATACGCTTTTTTAAACAGATTTTCAGAGAAAAACAAAAGAACGCACACAAACAATATTGAATGCAAAATCAATTTGTTTTTACTTTTTTCTCATAGTTTACTAAGAATTATTTCCT